CCCTCCCTCCCTCCCCCTCTGCCTCTCCCTCTCCCTGTACACCTTGACTAGAGCTATTAAACAACACGAGCTCCTCTTGACCTCGGCTGGTTTGATAAACGAGATCTCAGTTCCTTACAGCTCGAGAATATGGGTTTTCACATAATTTTATGATCTTTTTACTCCCAAACTGGCTCAAGAATCTAAGACATTCGTCGTTTTTTGGTGTCAAGAAGGTAAAAATTGATTCCATTGCATATTTTTTTTTTTCGGTTATGTTGTTAGGCCTTTATGTTGAAGAGAGCTGCAGAGGAACCTCTTGGTCATGCAGCTGCGATTATTGCAGATGTACTTGAAAATGCTGAGACCACGAATGTTATTAACGCGTCTCAGAAAAGAGCATTGCTTCAGGAGATGGCTTTGAGACTGTCTTAAAAGTTCGGTTTTAAGGTTTGTTAGTTAGACGTATATTTGGTCCGTGTCTTACGCAAACCCGTCTTACGAATTCCTGGTATCGTGTAACATCAAGTGAAGTTAGGAAGAAAATGAAAACATTATACAGTGTTGAAGCTCATGATCATGCTCTTATTGTGGGGCCAATTTTTGTTTATAGCTATTTTGTGATAGAAAAATTGTTATGTGAGTCGGGCGTAATCTTTAAGCGGGTCGATCATTTGTAAAATGTCATTTTTTTGTTATGTATTTTTTATTTTTTTTATTTTTTTAATGTGAGATTTCATGTTTGAAAATATGCATATTTGTTTTCTTGAGGCCTTTTTAAGTACTGAATGATTTATCAAACAATTCTAATTCGCGAATTATGTGATGTGTTGGATTATTATTGTTGTATAAAATAATAATGAAGCTTTCAACCAAAAAGCTGAGTTAATGTTTCATGTCTGAAATAAGAAAATAATTGCATGTACCTTATAAATTTAAATTAAATTTTATTTTAATAGAGTATGATATTGCAGTTTAAAAAAATTAGTGGGTAGCCCGTGCGATGCACAGGGAAATAATATTAAATAATAATTATAAATAGGTCTCGAGTTCGAGTCACCCAATGAAAAAAGTGGAGAACCATTATCCTATTTTAAAAGAGCAAATAAAAAATATTATAAATTAAAGATGTGGGATTAACATGTGATATAATTTATCGTCGTATATCAGTTTATTATCAATAATATAAAAATAACTTGTACAAGAGAACATAAAGTTTGAATGTTTACAATATTAAAAACATGTAAAAGTATGTAAAAGTTTGTGTTATTATTAAAAGATGTGAAGTCACCTAAAATTTTTTTAAACTATTTTGGAAAGATAACATGTTTAAAAATATTTAAATTTTACATTTGTATGAAAAATGTTTTCTAAACTCTGTTGTAAAGAAAACATGTTTAAAAATATTTATATTTAATATGTATATATATATACATGTGTATATAGATATAATATGACATGATAACATATTATATAAAAGTATTTAAAATATCATAAGTTTAAATAAAAACATTATAAATTTTTTGAGAGAAAATTTACCACTTATATATAAAATACATAATGACATGATACCGAGAATTATGACGGTATTTTCTATTATTTTCTTATAAGTTGTTACAATTAAAAAGAAATTATGTACGCATAACACTCCAACAGATTAATCAATTTTAAAATTACATATCGAGATTAATGTAAACTGTAACAAATAAAATGAGATTTTATATATAAGTGAACAAAAATGGGAGACAATATTTAAATCTGTATTTTTTTTCTGTGTGAATTTAATATTTTTAGAGGATAAATTTGTGATAAATCTTGATCTTTATATAT